CCATGGCATTTGCTCCCACACACAAATGCCGCCCTCCTGTAGCCTGGAGACTCTGGGATGTGTGTGCAGCGGGGGAGAGTCCGTGGGTGGATGCTCTCATCTTCCCCATGTAGGTGAGCGTGAGGGTCTGAGGCCGAAATATGCACTTGGAGAAAGAGACGATCAGTTGCAGGTCTTGTAAGGTGGATTTAGTGTAAACACTGATACTGGTGCCCTCCCCCTAACACTCTGACTTTCTGATCTTAAGAAAAAAGAACTGAGACATTCACACCATCTTTTCTTTCACTGAACGTTGAAGATGCCCAGAATCCATGAGAGAGCAGCTGGAGCTGCTGGAGAGGTCTGTACGTTTCCACAGCAGGGACCAGTTTGCATGTGATCTGCATATAGACATGGATGGAAAGACTTACAGAATATAAAATGTGTGGCCTGCGAGTGTTTCCTCCCATCTGTAGGTTTTCTGTTTGCTCTCCTGACAGTGTCCTTGGCTGTGCAGAAGTTTCTTAATTTGATCAGGTCCCATTTACTTATATTTGCTGTTGCTGTGATTGCCTTTGGGGTCTGAGGGATGGACACGCTTATAGCTCTGACTCGGGCGGGGCAAATGCAATATATGTAACCTAAGGAATGGTACCCCTGTAATATTCGGAAATAAAAAAAGATGTGTAAAAAATTCAATAAAAAATAAAGAAAATTATACTATTTGCATAACAGGAAATAAACATGGGTGGGTTTTTTGTACTGTTACATGTAAAGATTTTACTTTATTTTAATTGACAAACAATGCATACATTTAATCTCATAACACGTGTTTTAATGTATGTATACCTTGTATATTGATCAAATTAAGAAAATCAGCATATTCCTGATCCAAAATATTTATCATTTTTATCAATTCTTTTTTTTATTTCACAATATTATGGGTGTACAAACATTTTGGTAACATATAATTGCTTTGCCAAGCCCAAGGCAGGGCTACAGGAGTGCCCCACCCCCACACAGCTCACTCCCCATCCAACTAAGTAGTTAAGTGGAGTAAGAAGTCAGAGTGTCTTAGCTGATGTCTGCCCGCTGACATCTTAAGGCCCATCCTTCATCTTCCCTGTTTGCCCCACTCATGGGAATTCTAGGAAGGAATCACAGGTGCTTTCTCTTGAGATGGCTGTCGGAGGCCCAGACCCCACAAGACCCCTCCTGGGAGTGACAGACCCCTCCCTTCCCATCAGGGAACTGTTGTGAAAACCTGAGCCAGTCTCCCCTCCTGCCCTACAAAGCCACTTGGGACTCTCTTGAGAGGCCTGCCCTGCTCTGCAGACACCTCAGTAATGGAGGGAGTAACCCTTCCCGTGTTCATTTAGTGTGTGAGTGTATGTGTGTGTGTGTGGGTGCATGTGTGCGTGCGTGTAACACCATCAGAGTCAATTTCTACATTAAATGTTGGAGGGATCCCTCTGTCCTTGAATTGTGTCAGAGAGAATCGATGTTGTGAGCCTGCTGCTGGGACAGTGTCCACCACGGAGTCTTCCTTCTGTTGCTTAGGATGCTGACTCCCTCTGCCCCTGACGTCCTGCAGACACTTTATCCTGCTTGCTGGATAGAAGGAACATTCACTTCCGCGTGCTCTGATGCATTGTGTTGTTCGAGACAAAATCTGTTATCGATTTTCAGACTTATTCAGAAATGCTGATAATTTATGTACATTTGGGGAGAGGACAAAGTGACTGGAAGCCACTCTCTGCCTTCTGTGGAGGTGAGAATATTTTCTCTCATGACCACAAACATATCTCACTCAGAGACTGCAGAGGGAAGCACAGAATCATGAATTCAGAGACATTCCCCAGAAGAAACCATTTATAGAGAGGAAGCCACGACCCTAAGAGGAAACCAGCCCTTACCCTGCACCTGCACCTGCCCTGGG